TGAAGTAGTTTAAATTCAAAGAAGTCCTAGCAAACAAGTTCTCTATACTGGTCCGTTTAGATCTTCATGAACTGCTACTGGAGGAGAAAGGAGAACGTGTCGATCATTATCTGTCTTCATGCGAAGGCATACGTTGGAGACGAGAACTTCAAAACAAACAGTTTGACAAAGTTTGTTGAGTATTTCATTGGAAAACAAGTAAATAAACTCGTATTCCTTCCGCCAGCAACATGGACCCGTTGCGTGTTGCTGGCGGAAGGACTACGTCCCGTAGAGAGATTGGTCTGGAAGTTGGGGGGCTAGTGCGGGTTATCACTGAAAATCCCGCTCTATGCAGGACACAACCACAGCTTTAATGCATGCCTGCCGTACCGTTTCGTAGTTTCTAGTGCCAAGTAATAGGAGGCTTTCGTCACGGTTGTCATTAAGTCAGGGAAGACTTCCCAGACCATGCCCGTTGGTGAACGGTGCCATTCGTCATTGCGCCATCCCACCTGGATGGACTTACCGACTTAAAGGCAATTCCCGCGACCACACTTCATAGGTAATACAGTTCAAAAATAGAATTGCCCTGTGATTGTTGACTTATTGAAGAGAAGGAACCACGAAAAAGCGCCCGCAATAAGACCCTCTTTATTTCAATTGATCATGATCACCGGACGAGCGTAAGGTGGTCAAGATCAATTGTGGATTGCGAAAAGGCGGCGATACACTGATAAGAGACGAGAGAGGCCAGAAAATGACGGGCGAGAGAGCGCAATGGCAATGTCACAACGACACGGTCACCGGAGGCCGGCATGGGCCTATCGGGCGCCAATGGGCCTAAAACATGAGCGCCGTGCGTTCTGCTTGCTGTTTTTCAACTTTTAAAAGCAGCATATCCTCTACTGTTGCCTGCTTGATCATCATGCACGTTTATGAGGTTCTAGCCTTAGTTTATCGCGGAACGTGCCTTTAAAACAACGGTTAACAAAGACGTCAATATCTCATAATCGCAACGTTCTCAGTGTGCTAGACAGCCACTCCTTGTAACTTGAAGGCAAACTTTACAGTAATTTTCGTAGATCCTGATCCTTGCCATTTGCGTGGTAAATGGATCCACAGCTGCAGTAGCGTACCACTTCCTCCGCTCAAAAGTACGGGGACGATGGCGAAGGGTGGTGGTACGGGTGCCGTTTCGGACTCCACCCGTGTTGCTGCATTGCCAGCTCTACTCTGGACCACATCTAAATGCTCTACTTCTTGGATGTGTTTATTTTTACCTCGGACTGTGCGTTATTGTGGGATTTGGTATCCGGCGCGGAGTTAAGAAGTGAGAATAGGCCAGCGGAAGTCTCAAGCAACACCCAGGTTACTACTCTTCATCTTCATTTCGGCCCCTCTTCTGTTTATACTTGCCATCGCCGCAGAAAGCGGGATACTTGCATTGCCAATACTTCATGCGCAGCTGCTAAACAGTTATTAGTACAGTTGCGAACTAAAAAATCAACAACCGGAAACAGATAAAAAGTAAAAACGAAACCAATTCTATAAACGTGATGCGGTATACACCGAAGAGCATTCTGGAAAAGCTCGTCCGAGCGCGGGTTAACTCGTACGATTTCAAAGGTGGGACCTATTTTTGGGCTTGAAGCTGTTCGTTCTGCTGTTTTCTTCATAGTCTTGATACTTTGCACCCTGTGGTTCGTAACATGAGCGCGGTGTCCGTCACCTTACCACTGTACACTGTACCAGCACTAACAAGCTCATTTTCAGGCTTCTCAGAGCTTATTGAGCTTGGCTGATCGTGAGAATTCTGATGTGAAGCGACAGAGGGTGCGTTTTATTTCGATGTATTCTTTCCTTATGTAATATTTTTCGAGGCTGTGACAAGGTGTCCGCTACATAGTGGAATTGTGATTGTTCCAGCATCTCTATGCCTTTGCGAAGCTAGCTGCCGCTTGTAGTGATGCAGCATCTGAAGATGTGATTAACGAGGCTAACAGGAAACTGGTGCTTATCAAACATCAATCGTTGATTCCTGAATCTTTAGTCAAGGTATATCCACGGAGGCCGGCGCAGTTCGGCTTGGTGGGGGCCCCCAATGAGCCTCGTGAAGACCTGTAGCTCTTGTGACCGTAGTGGCTCACTCGCACCGTTTCGCAGCTACAAAGGTGTATACAGGTCCCGAAATGAGATCTATTAATCAACATGAACTAGTAAAATGAACGAGAAAAAAATGAAAAATCCCTCTCCAAGCCGAACAGCGTCCGATGGCTTTCTTTATTCAGTGAAGTAGGTTTTCGCCTTGGGCGATCCGGAACCGACTTGAAAGGGTTGTCATTCAGAATGTTTTCCCTGATAACCCTAATCGTCCACTGACTGCGCTGGAAATAATCGAGTTGAATATGCTTGATCCGGAGATTGTAGAAGGACACAAAAGGTTGGCATCACACTTTCTTTGGTTACAGTATCTTTTTATTACATTTATCGAAAGTTTTCGGGACGTACTTTTCTGCCAGCGTTACCTTATTAGAGTTTTTTCCCGGAATACTTACTTCTCGCGGTTCGAACTTTTGAATGAGTAACTTGTGCCAGTCTACAGTATTAGCCATTGGTGTTACGCTCGCGGTCGCAATCCCTACAAACGATAGGGCGTGTGATGCGAGCAGATTGCAGTGCAACCAGCACGCCCTTTTTCACCAGTGATGCTATCCTGAGCCCGATACAGATAATGGGAAATCTGAACTGGCAGCACTCTAAGCCATGCTCCGATCATGCGCCCTATCGTTTGCAAAGATCCATGATTGTACCTCGAATGTGCTGTAATTTTTGAACAGTACAGTTCAAACCTTGTAGATAGGCACACAGAAACGTCTCCACGGTGGTTAGTGACTGAAGCCCAGCTTAGCGCTGGCGTCGTGTTTATTCTGGTTAGGCGGAATGCTGCTCAAAGTTGAGAAGATATTACGAACGGCAAACTTTCAGAACTTTGAGTTTGCGCTAACTGATGTGGTATTCATGTTCAAAAATATTGGGGGGGGGGGTACCCAAGTCCTCCCTAGAACTCAGTGTGAGATACTTGTGCCGCACTCCTCTTTACTTTTACTGCTTCTGCCTAGGGGAACCATTTCTGCGCATGTATCCTTATCCCTGAGCCAGAGTAGGCGTGGCATTTGAACATGGCACGGAACTGGTTACTCGTGGAATATTCCAGTCTGGGACAACTGTCATCTTGTTCTGTGTTGGACAGAGACACGACAACAATTGTGTCAAGATGAAAATATCTCACCAGAAGCAGAAGCATAGGCACCTTCAGGTTAAGTTGTAACATGAGGCCACGTCTACCCGATCTCAGGGATCTCGAGTATAAATCCAGTAGATGATCTTTCTTCACGTATCAAATCATATAGTTTTGAATTGCTGTATGCCAGCTCTTCGCATTCGATAGTGGTCTTCCTTATGAACTTTCTTTTAGGGCCCTATATCTGGCGGCTAGGCTTCTCAAAGATGGAGACAGTGCAGAATTGCGTACACAAGTGAAGAAAATATGGTGTTCAGCTGTGAACAACAGCGATTGGAAACAGGTTTGTTGCATTTTCCTAGAGTAAATGATTTGTTGACTGAACTTGCCTTCCATAGTACGTAGGAGAGTGGGCTGAGCTTGTTTTGGTGCAAAGATTTTGACTGTTCTAAAATGTCTGCTACGGCACTGGAGATGCCCGTCATGGGAATTACGACGTCATTACCTCTTGCGCCACTCTTAATGGTTGTGCCACATTCATAGGAATTTGTCTATTCGGGTCGATGTGGCTATGGTTTTGTCTCAAGGGTATCTTGAACCTCCAAGAACGAATATCCTATTTTTACTTGGTGCAAAACCGCTGTTCTATTCGAGCGTGATACGATATTCGATCAGTGGCTTCGAACTTGTTCCTGGGGAATAGGGATAGCCTTTCACTGAATTTGGTGGTGTGGGGTATTGCGCTGCCGACTTGTGGCACTGAACTAAGTGTTTTTGCGCCATTTAGGTGGTATATGAAAGTTCGGAGGTGGAGGTGGCGTAGTGGCAAGTGGCACGGTTACCACGCGCGCGGTCCGGTGGTCTAATCCCGATCGGTTCCGCCGACGCCAGCCAAGCTTTCTACCCCTGGGAACGGTAAATTTGTACCAGATCCTTCTGGGAGTATAAGAACACTGACCTGCACTTCGGCTATAGGCCACATCGTATACGGTAAGCCCTCTGCAGTACTGACTAAAAGTAGAATGCGTGCTGTCTCCCAAGAAGGGATTGATTAGCGGCAGAAACTTTATTCGTTTCTTATATTTTTGAAGCTGCAAAGGTCGAGCTTTTGTTAGGATAAATGTGTGCTGTATCGATATTGCTCAACTTCTGGAGCAGTAAGGAAGTTCGACTGAATACTCAGAGTGGCTGACGTGATCAACTGCTCATATATTTGTAAACTAAGAAACTAATTGGTTAACCTTAAGTATTCACTTTTTTCCGGTTTTAAGACCGAGTTGAAGGGAAATGAGTGGTTGGTTTGAGGGAGGGGGCATACTTGGAGCTCGATTCTACGTAATGGTGTTCACTAAGCCTGTGCACAGGGCACGCCTTCGTTGTGATAATCACAAGGGGGGGTCGTATTTGACCGCGAGGGGGATCGTATTTGGTCTGAGAAAAATTTTTTTGATAGTTGATTTCTCTTGTTTCACGGACGCTATAAAGTGTGGGGGGTCGTATTTGCTCGTTGTTGGGAGGGGGGGTCATATTTGTCTTTGAAAGCAATTTGCGGCGTCGGGAAAAAACTTTCCCCGGTTTTTAAGGAATTTATCACAACGCGATGGCGTGCCCTGCTTGTACAGGCCGCCACGCGAAGACCAGTAAATTACAACGAGCAAAGATTCACACAATTTCGCTGCTTTGAGAGTTCACAGTTTTCGCCGAGTGAGACCTGATGATCAACTTGGTAAGCCACCCTCGAATAGTAGCTGGGTACCATTCGGAAGAGGCTGAGTGGAGTTCTGTTGTGCG